GGCGCCGGGGACGCGGTTCGGCATTTGGGGGGAGGCGCTGGGCAGGGCAGGAACGCGGGGGCATGCCGCTCCGGACTCTGCTGCTCTGCGGCGGGGGTGGCTGCAGCACAAGGGTCAAGGGGGGGCTCGCCGCTTCTGCTGTAAGGGAAGAGGGAGCGGGTCAGCGCCAGACCCCCACAAGGCAGAGAACCACTGCCCCCTCCTGCCGCAAAGTGCCGGCGGCACGGCCCATGATGGGCAGAGACCAGCCTGAAGGGGCCCCCTGTGCTTCCCATCCAGCACGCAGGTGGTTCAGCTGCACAGCCAGCCTGTGGCGGCTTCAGCGCACTGCCTGGCATTGACAGGACGGGACCCAGCAAGGACGGGCAGCCCAGCCTGCTTCAGGGACCTTTCTCCCCGGATGGGGTGCAGGTTCTTTGAACAGGCTCAGGGAAGGCCTTGCGGAGAACGCAACAGAGCCTCCCTGCTACGGGTCGGGCAATTCTCACCTCCTATTTGACTTGCAGGGCGGCCCCCAGCTCCATGCCCCAGACCGCAGACAGTGCTTACGCGGAAGAGCTGATCCTCTACGAGGGAGTTTCTCTTGGCCCTCTCAACCCTGAGCCCCCTTCGGCGCCCTCTCCAAGGGGAGCCAGGCCGCGTGTGAATTGGGCCCCTTGCCCCCTCGGCTATGGCTCGGTGAAGAGGCCCAAAGGCTCCATGCAGAGGAAGGGGCCCAGGGGCAGCCCAGTGGTACAAAGGAAGGGTTGCTTGCACTCCCCGAGGGAAAAGCCTTCCCTTCTGTACCCCTCCCACTCCTCCTTTTATGTGGGGAGGAGGGTACTCCTGTTTCTGTAGGTGGGGGCAGCCCAGCATGAGGCGCAGGGGCTTCCAAGGCCCCTTGGGCTCAGAGGCTTTGCTCCTTGCAGTGAAGGAGCTCAAAGCCCCCTGCCCAGCCAGGGCCTCCCTCAATTGGGGGGTCCTTGGGCGCTGCCCCCCGGATGCCGCTCAGCAACAGCACTTTGGGCGGGAGGCCAAACTCCAGACCAGCCCGTGAACAATCATTCAGGAGGACGCCTGGGTGGAAAGGGGGCCCCAGGGCCCTGCCAGCCCACATCCTGCTACTCCAGCCAGGCCCCGACACCCAAGGCAGAACAGCTGCTGAGATGGGGAGTCCCAGCCACAGGAGGCCAGCATGCAAGATTTACCTCTGGGGCCAAATGCCACTTTCCTGTCAGGATCTTCTGCCCTCCTGGTGGGGGGGGGTAACTCCCCAGGGAGGTGCCACGGCAAAAACTCTTCTAAGTCGGCACTGCCCTGCTTACCTCAAGGTCCCTGCGGTGTTGGCCGAGGGATGGAAGGAGGCAAACATCCGGATCGGGGCACTGTAGGGAGAGAGCAGGCTGTCAAGAGGGAGCTGGCCGGGGGGAGGTCCTGCCTCGCACCCTCTGGCCAGAGCCTCACCTGTCCTGGCAGCGGGCATCGGTGCGGCGGAAGTTGTACGTGCTGCAGGTGCCGCCGTAGCCGCCATAGCTCTGGTTAGGGCTGAGCGGGCTCTGCACCACCTCCTGCGCAACAGAGGGGCAGGTGAGGGGTGCCGGGGGCCGAGCGCAGCCCCCTCTTCCCCGGACACGCTCCGCCCTCCCTTACCTGAGTAAGGGCCCTGTCCAGCCGCTCCCTCTCCTTGGTCTCCTTGGCGCTGCGCTGCTCTGTGCTCAAGGCTGCCCTCAGGCCTGGACGGCGCCGCCTGTCCCTCCGGCGCTCGAGCCCCTTCCCACGCCTGCCCTGCCCTGAAAGCAAGCTGTAAGGGGCCCTCCTTATCTGTGCAGCACAGGGGGGAGCTGGGGGGCTGGGGGGGAAGGAGCCCGGGGGCAGCTTCCTTCTCTCCCCAGGCCCACAGCTTCGGAGGAGACCGGTGGGGCGGAGAGGTCTCCTTCTCACCTGCTCCCGGAGATGAGGGGTGACCTGGGGCTCTCTGGGGCTTGGGGGGCGGGAGGTGGGACACGCAGGTGCAGCCCGAAGAGGCCCTTGCGCTTCTTGATTTCCTTCCCGGAGATGAATCTGTGGGTGAAAGAAGGAATGGGGGAACCTGCTGGCATGGCTCCCTCCAGCCGGCGAGGCCAGCATCCTGACCGCAGCCCCAAATGCCGTGGTGCCTAAGAGAAGGCCCACTTCTGGGTCCCGTCAGGCGATGCTGTTTGACTGACGAGACCCAGTGCGCAGTGAGCAGGACTTGTAGTGACAGGGTGCTGAAGAGATCTGCGCGCTGCCTGAACGTGAGCAGGAAGGCGCTTTGCATCTGGGGTGATTGAAAACCCAACAGCTGCACTTGTCCAGAACCATCTGAACTATGGTTTACCAGAACAACCCAATTTTCCACATTCACCCAACTCAGGTTGGGTCATTTTGTGGGTTCACGCAATACATTGACCCATACACTCAGTAAATTAGCTTTTTTTCTCAGACACAAAAATATCTAAGGTTAAAGCTATCCAAATATGGTTTTAGCGCAGCTCATAAGGTTTGTGACTGACTTGGTTAAGTCACTGTGCCAGCAAATCCAGTCTTGGTTGGATGTGCACAACGTGTCACATCGCCACGTCCGGGTTCGTGGATGACTGAGCGCAGATACAAGCCTCAAGGGTGGGCATTTTCTAGGTTAGGATTTGCTTCCAAGCCCCATGGCTGGATTTGCACAAAGCAATTAAATTAGCCAGTTTTCTGGGCTTGGACAGCATAGTGAAATTTTAGTGGAACCAAGTGGGCTGAACTTGTACATTAGGCTGAACCCCAAAAGGCTAACCAGCTTAGGATGCTCTGCAGATGCGGTACGTTTAGCATGAGGTGGAAGCATCAGCCATGAGCACGGCTTACCTGTCCTTGTGGCTGGTCAGGGCACTCAGCAGCTGGCTGTACCGTTCCCCTTTGGGCGTCTCTGAGAGCTGCGGTGGCCGAGGAGAGGGAACGAGGACGACAAAAAACAGCCCTGCCCGTAAGTCTGCGCTCTCCCCAGACGCAGCCTCACCCCCCGAATGGACACATTGCAGGGCCAAGGAAGAGGAACCAACCGCCTTGCCCGCGAGGCTGTGCCCTCCCCAGGCCTATCCCTCTTCCCAGGAAGGACACGTCGCAGAGCCAAAGGGAACGGCCCTGCCCGTAAGACCATCTCCTGAGGCCTGGCCGTGCTCCCTGCAGCGAACATGATGCGCTTCTCTCCTCCCATCTTTACTCTTATCCAGGGGTCACTGTGGACTGGGGGGATAACCCTGAGGCTCTGCAAACAGCAGCGCTTACACCACGAACGGGCAACCGGCAGGAGCCGCAGCTCGCCCAGCATGTGGCTGGTCAGCTTCCGGCACAGTGTCGTTTTTTGCTACTGGAATTCAGTGCTGAATGGCCCAACGTAGTTTCAAGCTGTATTTGAGGCAGGGACGGGTAACAGCACCAGTTTGCTTCCTAGTGGTCGCAACCGCCCCCCCTTCAGCCCCTCACAAAATGCCAATGAGCACGCAGAAATGTGCTGCCCATGACTCTTCATGGAGGTCAAGAAGCCAAGTCGTGACCTGCAGCCGATCCACGCCTGCCACGATGCAAACCAGGCAGCAAGCCGAGAGATCGCCCACTCCCCCTTTGTGCCCCCTTGCTTTCCTTCTCCCTAACCCCCCGGGCCCTTCTCTGACCTCTCCCAACAGGAGGCTGTCCCAGTTCTCGCTGGCGAAAGGCAGAATTTCTCGCTCAAAATCAAAGTATTTCTTCTTGCAGCAGATGCTGAGATGGTAGAGGATGAGGTGGGCCACGTCCACCCTGCAAACGCACACACGCACACGCCTGCGTGAGAGACATCTGCCAGCCCAAGGCCAGGCCTGCAGCGCCCCCCCCGCAGCAAAGAGTTGAAAGGCTGGTTTCCGTGAAAGCCCCAGAGAACCACGTTTAAGGCTCTGCAGGAGAGGCCTGGGGTGGGTCCTCAGCCCCGCTTGCGCCACTCAGCTCCCAGGGCTCGATTCACAGCCCCACAGCCAGACAGTTTCACATGGCAGACTAACCCAGGTGGGATGTGGGCTTCGTGGGCCATGTGAACCCTGCCAAGAGCAGCACCCCCAAATCGCAAGAAGCTGGTCTTTTTTTGACCACAATTACTTCTTTTGTGTCTCGTATGCGGGGAGAGAAGAGCTGGGCTTCTCTACAGTGGCAAAAATCAGGAATCCGGTGGTACCTTTTCCCACTAACCAACTTTATAAAATCTGCAAAACTGGTTAGTTGGAAAAGGTGCCAGCAAATCCTTGATTTGTGGCTTGGTGCGTCACATGCCCCTCTTTCTCCTAGTGCAGCGCTAGGAAGCTATTCCAGACATCGGCAGCTCGCCTGCTGCGAGCGGTCGCTGGCCATTGTGACTTTTGAATTTTAACAGAGGGTGGCTGAAAATGGGAAGCTCTCTGCTGGCCAGGGTGGGCCTGCAGCCTTGGGATCCCAAAGAAATGCCCGGGGCCCGACACAGGATCCCCACTCTGGAAACATTAGATTGCGCCGGAGGGAGGTGAAAGGCTCAGCCGGAGGACGGCCGAGGCCCATCCACGTGAGCAGTGCTCCTCCTTTTAAGTGGGTGCCCGTGCTGGGCCCTGAAACCACC